AGCAGCGCAGTATTGATGAGTCAATATAAGATGATCTCAGGGGTAACGATATCAGGACGTAAAGTATAATAGCAGAAGAAACCCCATGATTGTGCGTGTAACACATATATGGAAGAAGAAAAAATATCTGAGGAAGGGATTTAAGGTAGTACTTGCTAGATTCACCTATGGTTTGAATGCAGTGCCAATCACCAGTATCATCCTCAGCCCAGACCTGATCCATAATTTTCTCTTAGAATTTCAGTTCAATTTTTATATTGATCACTAAAATGATTAAATGAAGAGCCGCAATGACCAGCTATTCGTGCAAACTATATAACTAGGGAGGATTTCCGGCATAAAGTACCTTAATGGTATTATCATAGCTACAGGAAAATAGAATGTCCATGGTTGGATGCCACTTAACCATCTTAACATCTTGTGTGTGGCCCTGCAACACTGAAGCACACTCGAATTCATTCCCTGGCATCACTTCCCAAATCCAAACAGTTTTGTCTCTACTACATGTGGCCAATAGAGATTCAGATGCATTCCAAGACACACTTTTGACTTCATTTTCATGACCCTGTTTGCAGACCAAGACCACCAATAGAAAACTAAGTGAGGACATTCCAAAATTCAGAGTTTCTTATCTAGCCAGAAAAAGAGAACAACTGTCCTGACAGCTAGCCAGACAATCCTAAGAATCACAAGCACATAAGGGTAACGAAGATATAGTAATCATACCTCTAGAGTGGATACACATTGAAAATCACCCCCAACATTCTCCCAAATGGCAGTGGTCGCATCGAAGCTGGCTGTAGCCAATAATTTCCCAGAAGGGGACCAGGTACACGATCGAACTGTCCTAGTATGTGTTTCTTCCAAAACTGCCTGCACGATCATTCCCAATATGAGTTCCAATGCGAAATCAACTAACTCCGCTGATCATTAGCAACAGCAAACATCCAATACTGAAGCTAATTTCTACAGCTCATCATCTCAATTAAGCTAAACAGATTAGTTGATACTCTAGACGTTCACGTAACGATATGCATACAGAAAAAATTAGTTTGCTTCAAGTAATTGATATGGGAAAGAAGAGAAACCATGGAAGCTTATGTTATTATGACTCTCGCCTAATCCTTACCATACATAACAGTACCCAAAATGAGAGAAAAGACAAACAGAAAAGGAAGAGGAAGTCAAAACCTTGCAGTCCCAAGAACGAGTCAAGGCACTCCGTTCCCAGATTCGGACAGTCTTATCACCACTACAGGAAGCAATAACCGGCTGCGCGTCGTCAGTTCCGGTGGCCGGATTCCAGGCAAGACTCCAAACCCTATCGGTGTGACCGCTAAGTGTCTGAATCTCCTTGAGCTCGAAGTTGGAGCCCTCGTCGTCCAAATCCATGGCGCCGGGGATCTTCAAGAATTAAGCTGTGAATTTGGTTGGGTTTGGCTCTATTACTCTGAGCTGCAAGTATCAAAGTACAAAATGGCAATAATGACCAAAACTATTGGCGCTCGTCGACCAGGGCAGGAAGGAAGGAGTACGACGAATTTCTTCCTAACCACGTCCTGCCGCCTTCAACAGTGAAAACTGAAAAGGTTGGTTACTAAACAAGTCTTATACTATGAATCGTTAACGAATAAGGCCCTATAATTATAATATGATTACATAAAACGAAGGAGGGTCTTTATGTAAAGAGATAAAACATTGGGAGGTTAATCGGGAAAAAGTAGTCATTGATTAGAGGGAGAACAGGTCCTGGGCCATGACTGAGCAATAGATGAGGCCCAAAAAGTCGGGTCGATCCGGTACGCTGGCTTAACTCAATTCAATTCTAAAGAAAAGGGGAAAACAACTCCTCCTCCATCGCCATCGTCAAAAGTTCTCTGGTCGCAGACGCATCTCTTCTTTCCCGTTTCCCTGTTCTCTGCAACCCTAGAGAGGACGTATCCGAACTGTGTAATCCAGGCTAGTCACCATGGAACACGTACCGCGTAGAGGTCAAAGTGGCCTTTTCGAAGGCATCTACAAGGTTTTCATGCGCCGTACCTCCGTCTACGCCACCTTCGTCCTCGCCGGTGCTTTTTTCGGAGAAAGGGTACTTTTCTATTACGTTTCGCTTATGTCAATGATTTGTTGAATTCGCTGCTCGTTTCGATTCTGCGTGTTGATCGTGTGAATGCTTGAGATTTGGCAGAGGAATTGATTTGGGCGAATTGTATGGAAAATGATCTAGCTTTCCTGATGTTCAGAGGTCGCTTTGAGCTGTTTTTTTCGAAAGCCTTCGACCATTAGTACTTAAGATCAGTTATCGACAACACTGTGACGTGGATCTGAACGGCATCTTCTCCCTGAGCTTTTCTTATGCATTAGGTTTCAGAGTTCCTGATTGAGATGTTTGGTAGCAGTCGTTTATCTGTAAGAATTGACTGTTGAAGCCTGCGATCTAATAATAAACTCCTCCCAGTAATTAAAAAACTCTTCATGTGGTTGGTGCAGGCTGTGGATTATGGAGTTCATAAGCTGTGGGAGTACAACAATGTTGGGGTATTGCTCTAGATTTTCTCCACCTCTCTTCTTTGAATTTATCTGCAATGCACCTTCGTTACTGCATTGATTGCGTTGTAAAACAAATGATTTGCGAAAGAAGTTAATATGAGATGGGAATTGGGATGAACTACATTGGCACGTCTAATTATGACCTTACTAACCTGATTGTTTCCTTTCTTTTTGGTCTGCCATATGTGTTGATGGCAATATTTTGTGATCTATTCTTCATAGTGTTTTAACATTCACGAGTAGCAGAGCTGTGGAACTTTATCAGTTTTATTAAGTTCCGGTTCAGCATGGAGCTGTTTTCTGAGAGTGAATTATCTAGCCATGACATCTAGTGAATAATTGGTTCTATGCGATGAACATTTCTCACACTAGGGTCCCAACGGCTGTCAGGTTTCATGGAAATGAAATGCTTTTCCTTTTCGTTCCCATCTGAACGAATACTGTTTCAACTATGTGCATATGTTGTCTTCTCTTAGTGCTTTGTATTTAGTTGACACTGCCTAGTTCAGAACTAGCACAATTTAGTTATTTGTTCTTCCTTAGACTTGTTCAAACCATTGCTCTTTGCGTTCCTCCAACATGATCGCGTTACAAGTCATTGATTTTCATTCTCTCTACACTATTGTAACCTGACCTTGTGTACATCCGCACCCTGAACTTTGATAATGTTACTAGTTCACCTGTGGTTTTTGTCCTTGGTATCATCTGTGCTATCATATTTTTATTGTGTTTTGGTCCCTTGTTTATTTTTCGTGCTGCAGAAACGCTATGAAGACATTTCAGTTTTGGGACAAAGACCAGCAGAATGAGGGCGGCTGAGTTCCCGTCCGTGGCTGTTTGGATTTCCCATATTTGATGATTTTGGGAGTAAAACCATGATGTTACCAGAGTAGCAATAAGTGTACTTTTATGGTGGTTAAAACCAGACTTGAACGTCCACTGTTTTTCCTTCTTTTATTGGCGATTTCTGGGGCTGTAGCTGTATGCACAACAGTTAATTAACTCAGAACATTTGCTATTTAGTTTATCAAAAAATGTGGTCATTTGACTCTCTCTCTCTCTCTCTCTCTCTCTCTCTCTGGATGTTTAGTTTGTTCGCCTGAACTCATTCCTTTACATTTGGAGGGCACGCTGACAAGTACCATTCCTTTCCTTTAGGTCATTGAACAGCGAGGCAACAATAGCAGTTCATTACAAGAATCATGTTTTTTATACAAGGAATCTGGTGCAAAATTTGGATTCAGTTTTATTTTGTATCCATATAAAAAGAGATGAAAATGAACAATAGAATACAGACAGCGACTAATCCGCCCTAATACATGGCAGGAAAAATCAGAGTCTTTCAAGTATATCATTATTTAACCATGAAAGAGCTTTTACAGCTGCATCCTCCCACTGCACTTGGATTTTCAGTTACCTGCACAATAAACCCCAACTTAGTTCCGACCCCATTTCAAAATCAAAGAGCAAAACGAGTATTAGCAAACGGTAAAAGCAGCCGCTAATAATGTTGGTGATGGTTGCATGTATCTCCTATCTCTAATGACCAACATGCACCAGCTCTGTTTCATCTACAAAATGCAGACCTAATGCAATCTGCCAAATACTGACGATCCTAGGACTGAGCTGTGATCTAATAGCTACAAGAATTAGCAGTGTTATTAGCTATTGTCTACAAGTTAGACACCCATGAGCACGGCCCAAACCAAGTCATTCCAGAGACTCGTGCTTTGAGAAAGCGCTTCTGAAATTAGGCTTAGGCTCTTAGCGGGGCAGATCATTCCAAGAGGCATTGATCAACCTTATTCATCACTGAATCTGAAGGTCTTAAATATTTTGGCCACACATAGTTAGGTAAAGAAGAAGGCTCTGACCATCCAAAGTATATCTCGCTTTTTAATTGATCAAATATTTGCCAAGAGGCATTGATCCACCTTATTCATCATAACAATTCCCTGACAAGAACTGGACATTTCCAGCAGATGCCAGGGCCAGAATAAAGAGTACCCAACATCATTGTTGCATCTATAAGCAATGTCACACATCATGAACAGAACACCTTGAACAAATACATTTGTCCAAAGTATATCTCGCTTTTTAATTGATCAAATCCTTGCCAAGAGGCATTGATCCACCTTATTCATCAGCGATAACAATTCCCTGACAAGAACTAGACATTTCCAGCAGATGCCAGGGCCAGATTAAAGAGTACCCAACATCATTGTTGCATCTATCAGCAATGTCCCACATCATGAACGGAACACCTTGAACAAATACAATTGTAACACCCAAAGCTGAGCTAACTCATTTGCTAGAAAGCGTCTGGAGACTCATACTATTATTCTAAATCGAGTTTTCAGATAAGCGAAATTAAGGCCTCGAACCACTTTCAATGTTTCCTCATCCTTTTATTCTACAAGCAAACGTGAATTGACCCCAATGGCAGAACAACCAGATTGAAAGCACACTAATATAGATCAAGCACAATACATACATTACAGAAGGAAACTTACTTGGAATGCAGATCGAATGAGTTCCTCTACATAATCTATGGTTGCCCCTTTAACAAAATCGTAAGATATATTGTCAACAACTAGTTTCACTCCTTCCTTCTCAAATACTCTGCAGAGGTAAGTGCAACAAAAAGATAACACAGGTTCAGATTGACAAAAGCCCGGTGTCCAAATCGTGCTCTAACCAGCAGAACTTTACATCCACAGCAAACAAAATGCTAAAAGTGAAGAGGATAAAGCACCTGTCATCAGGGTTCAACTTATCGTCCAAGTCAAAAACGTATTGGAAACCTGAACATCCACCGGTTTCTACTCCTAAACGAAGCATTTTCTCCTCTGCTGATGTTTCACTCGCTTGCAGTTCTTTCATTTTCTGCAAAGGCAACCCAATACCTCTATGAAAACCTTCTTCATACATCATATTAGAAAGAAATCAGGTTCCAAATAAGGCCGAGAAAGGATACGAGAACCACCAATCAGCTCTAGCGAAACCACCAAATGATGATAGAAATAGACATGTCCAGTTGACAAACGAATTCGAAGGGATAAGCCAAATCATATAGCAAATATACTACAAAAGAAAGCTTCATAAAATGAAACCATGAAGCGGTCTATCGATAATATTTCTATCGTTAAGTTGATTGGCAGAACTGAGAGGTTTTGCGGAAGGAACAAAAGCGAAGAGGTTCGTATTCTACTGCCCTCTCCCGCGAAAAGAAAGTAACCCCAATTGAAGCACCAAGTTAGACCAGATCACAATCAGAGCATCAAGATATTAGAAAGGAAAAGCCAACGAGATAGACGATTGAATATATACCCGGATGCAATTTTCGGTCAGGTGAACGGATTCTTCGAGGGATGGAGCTTGGCGGAGCAGAGAGGAGGAAGAAGAACTTAGAAGCCTGTGGTTCTGCCGAATCCGAGCGGCGAAAAATGGTGTAATCCGGTGAATCAACGAGAATCTCGACATGGGAATTTTTTCTTTTCTTCGACCCGGTTCTGGTTCGCGTAAGGACTATAATATCATGGCCTCGACAAGCTAATCTTCTATTGCAAAGCTGCCGACTTTCTTCTTCTGGTTTATTCTCTGCTCTCTAGTTTGGATTTCGGAACAGAATCAACGGAAACGAAGAGCGGAGAAGAGGAGAGGCTCGTGCCTACCTCCCACTCCCCGGCCACGTAAGCTACTGGGCAACGTGGGCGACGGGACACCGCCAAAACGGCCGCCAGTATTGCGGATATGTAATTGCAGCGTGGTATTGGGCTTTGCACTTTTGGGCTCTAATATTGGCTTGACAAAGGTAGAGAAATGACGAATCCGCACCAGCTAAATATCTTAGGCCAATACTACGGTGCCGCTAATAAAAGTGCGGCACCAGTGACGCTGTTTTTTATTGGGCCACATGGCTGTGACATGGCACTAGCTGAGTTCATTAATTCCAAACCCACATCCAGCTGATCGAGTCGGCCCAAACCAGCACCCCTAAGGTGACGGAGCACCTATTAACTCCGTCTCTCATCTCCTTGTTTTGTATTTAGTATTTTTATTAATTCTGGTAGAACTTCATTTGTTTTACTCGCGTAAGCAAAAGAGTAAAAAGCACCACGAACTCGGAATCCAACGTGCCTTCGCCGGACTGTCATTTCCGGCGACTTCTCCGTCTTCAACCCAATATGCAGACTGTATCAAACGCCTCCAATAAATTTCTTGGTTGTCTTTCTCATTCCCTTGTCTTCTCTCTTTGTGCTCAGAGGAAAAGTCAGAAGGTCAATTTGGGGAGAGCAAAAAATTAATACGACGACTCTATCCCAGGAGTTATTGTCCGTTGTCCGCCTCTGGAGCATGCAGTACCTCCGACTCCCAACATCCTACTCTCATTCGTCCCTTGCCATTACCGCCTCACCATAGCAGTGATCGGCACCGACAAATTGAAAGCGCCTTCCCATTAATCATGGTAAGATGTGACGCATTACCCCGAGAACAACGAACTCCAAGTAAGGTACCCTGATTCTCCTTTCTTATTTTTGGGTTTGCATCTTTTAGGTTCCGGTGATGGGTTGGTTCTTTGTTTCTCGGTAGGGTGGAGTTGTGATGTTTATGAACTTCTTGCCAATCTAGTAATTAATTTTATCTACAAGCTTGAATTGGTAACATGAAATGAAAGGATGAAGCTGTGTTTTTAACTGTGGCCTTGGTTCTTATGCTATCAGGTGGGCCTCAATTAGCTTCAGGGAACTGATTTCATCAATGTTATAATTCAGTCTCTAATGAGGGGAAGTTGGGGAACACCCTTGAGAAATTTCTTCCTTTTTTTTGAAAGTTCTGTTGGTACTTGCATACTTAATCTTCTTTTATGATTGCTTTCGCTTGGCAGGGATCAAAAAGAGATGGTAAGACAGAAGATGGTGATGTTCTAATAGGAAAATCCAGAATGTCATTCTTGGTGCTCGGACTGGACTGGATTTGCCACTGCCTCCTTGTTTAAGGATGTAATGGAGAGAAACTTCAATCTAAAATCGATATACTTTCCCATATACCAAACAGTTAACTATTCCAAAAATCCAAGAACACTACGATAGAACAAACAATTCAAAAGAAAGACAAATCAGAAAATATACAACTGAGCAGTAACAAACCAGACCACCAATAAAGTTAAAACAATCCCCAAAAGGGCAAGATCACGACAAGAACTACCAAGTCACAAACTAAAACTCAACAATTCAACCCAAATATGCACAACCCAAAATACCCGCCAAATTGCAAATAGCAGCATCGATCCTACTACAAATTACACCCCTCTCCATTACACATAAGAAACAAAACCATAAACTGAAAGAGGGAAGAGAACACATCAGCCGAACATCAGCAGAACATGGCCATATGCTCCACTCCCCTGCTCCTCGCTGAACCTAGAACGAGAAAGAAACAACACAGAATCGAGCCCCCCAGCATCCCTGACTCACAACGTTCAGAGGCAAAAGAGAAATTAAACGACACGTTGAACCTCCCAGCATCCCTCGCCGGAAAACACATACTCCCTCGAAGTCTCGAATTACATGGAAGACTTTTCATTATGTGGGTAAGTCGCTCCACACATTTAGGAATTTGTATCGACGAGTCGAACAGGAAGGCCACAAGGGGACGACGCACAGGAAGGCGACTCTATTCTTTTGGGATGAACTGGTACTTTCGCCGAGGCAATATTCGACGAAGACAGAGGTCTGTCAAGACGAAGGCTTCCTTGGCCTCTGTTTACATGATAAATGTTGCGGGATATGGCAAGGTAATTTTGTGGAGCCGGGATCGACCACGGTGAAGTCGTCGGAAGTGTTGTTAGACAGTTAGTCGGAGAAGGAGATCGAGGAGACGACCATGTGTTTTGGTTTCTTCTCTCCCGTTTCTGCCAAATAACAAAGACGCTCAACAGTTACACCAATTTTAAATTAATTATACACAAAATAACAAGCAAAAATAAGCAATAACGGGGACGTAAGTCCTGTTCCGTCTGTTTGGGTAGCAGCGGTTGGGTCCAATATTTATGGCCACCGGGTTTAAAGTTAGATTTAATAGACTTGGTTGGTGCCACGTCACAGCCATGTGGCCCAATAGAATACAGCGCACCGATGCCGCACTTTTAATAGCGGCACCGTAGTATTGGCCAATATCTTATCTATACGGGAGCTAAGGGGTCGTTTGGAAGTTGCGACTGTTTTGTTGATATTGTCATTATGTATGTATTGTTTACAATGCAATATTTTTTTGTTTTTTTAGCAGAAACAATACATGGATTGTTTCTGTGATGTGACAGAAACTATCACTCATTTTGAGTGAATGTTATATCTCAACTTTTAGTTGTGATTGTTGAGATAGTTGAGTTGAGATTGTTTTGTCTCAGCTTTTAGCTGATGCGACATACACAATCACACATACCAAACGTTGTATTCTACAATGCATCAAATTCGACAATACATGTATAATATTATACATGCATTCTTAACAATACATCTATTTAACAATCGCAACTTCCAAACGACCCCTAAGTAAAATAAAACACTTGCTCACACGAGTCTGCTTGGCTGTTTTTTACACCTTCTCGTGCGGATTCACTTGGGTGGGTGTCATTAAAGTTCGGATTACACAGCCCACTCCCGCATATTCACTTGTTTTCCATCTCAAGACGATTCTCTTTCTCAAAACTATTATAAGTGGGTTTCAATTCGAGTATCACGCCACAAAAAATATATGTTACGAAGTGTTACTGGTTGCTTCAAAGATGGCTAGGTAAGAGACACGGTTATTTTTTTTAAAAAGATTCTTAAAATTTTATTATGATTTTGTTTAGTTAGTAATTAGTGAATTTTTTATGTAGTGATTTTAGACAATTTGAACTAATAATTTGGTAGAAATCGAAAAAAAGTACAGAACAATTTGGGCGTCGATTTCGTTGGTGGTAAAAGCTTTTAGTTGGCAGTTCCATACAAGGTGACATATCACCAATTTTGTGAGAATCTAGTTCCGAGGATACGGCGTAATGACGAAACAGTACAGGATAGTGATATGATCACAGGTTTCACTTACAAACTTCCAAAATGGCATAATGGTGTTCTATTTTATTATGTGATTCCTACTGTGGATGATGATAGCTTGAATGTGCTTTTCAATTTTATGGCACAAAACCCTTATCGATTGGGTGTTGAGATATATGCTGAAATTAATCAGCGTGAAGATGAGACATGGAGTGTGCCATCTGATCATGACTATGATGACAGAGAGGAGGAAGATGAGGAGGAGGAGGAGGAAGAAGAAGAAGAGCCTAATGATCCTCTAGATTATTACTTGTAGGATAATGAAGAGGACGATGAATTATCTTATGCTTATTCATATGGCGTAATTCCAGTGCCTATTGTTACTGGTTTCGAATGAGAATTCTACGAGGGGCATATATTTCACTCCAAACACTTTGCACAGGTGGCGATTAAATATCACGCACTACAACACAACTTTCAGTATGTCGTAGTGGAGTCGACACCTTTAATCTGGAAAGTCAAATGCTTGAAGCACAAGGATGACAATTGTGCTTGGATGGTGCAGTTTGGATGTCGAGATGTTGGAAGCAAATGGATTGTGAGAAAGGCCGGGTGGATGTATTCTTGTAGCAGTACGACTCAACCGGCGGATCATCGTCATCTTGATGTCGATGTCATATCTGAGTCCGTGAGACATTTGATTTGTGCCCAACCAAATCTGAGTGTTCTAACTATGCAGGCCGAATTGAAAGATAAGTTTCATATGTAAGTTACTTACAAGAAGACTTGGTATGGAAAACAAAGAGAAGTTGCATGGAATTGGGAAGAATCCTACGATTATTTGCAAACGTTCTTGCGGGTGGTAAAGAGAAAAATGTCAACATTAGTGATTGATTGGGTAAGAATTCCTTCATCACAGCCAGGTCATCTGATCTTTCAGCGAGTATCCTGGGCATTTGGACCTTGTATAGATGGATTCAAGAATTGTCCAGGAGTCATGGTTGTTGATGGAACATTTATTACTAGAAAGTATAAAGTAGTGCTACTCATGGCAAGCTCATTTGATAGTCAGAAGAAGATTTTTCCAATTACATTTGCCATAGTGGAGAGTGAGAATACTGATAGTTGGCCATGGTTCATAAGAAACCTTCAAGGTTTGCCGACCGAAATTATGTCTGGATCATCTCATATAGACATGTGAGACTCTATGAAGCCATGAGTGACATATCAGATGAAGTTGAGAGTGGAGGTGGTGCATGCGACACTATGCAAGCAACTTGCAAAGGAAGACTAAAAGCAAGATTATGTATAATCAAGTGTTTTGAGCCGGTAAGCCTTCATTGTTATGGTTATTTATTGTTATGTATTATTGATTTTCATTTTAATTTGTCATGAATATATCTAACTGGTGTGGTTATTTATTGTTATGTATTATTTATTTTCATTTAATTTTGTCATGAATATATCTAATTTGTGTGGTTATTTCTTGTGTTAGCTAGAGAAAAACGCTTGGAGAAGTTCGATCATCAAGTTGAACAATTTAAGAAGATGCTAATAGTAATGTTTCATGCGGTAGTTGGGTGAACCAAAATCAAATGCTTTGGAGCTTAGTATGTGATAACCATAATGGTGGGCATCGATGGTCTATCATTACATCCAACATGGCAGAGAGCATCAATGGTGTTTTCAAAGGTATTTGTTCACTTCTTGTAGCTTCTCT